CCAACACTTTTGGATTCCCAGTGCCAGTGGCCATGTTGTGGGAAGTGAACCTGGACTGGCTGGAGACACTAAGGAGAGGTAAAAGCTAGAGCCTGGCATGTTCCCAAATCACTCCTGGATCAGCTCCCCAGAAACACTTCAGCCTCTCTGTTCTTCCATGGGGTTTGAGTGAGGGAAATGGAAGAGCTTTGTGGAATGGAGTGGCTTTCAGTGTTTGTGGTGGGTGAGACGAGGCTGCCCTGGCTGGTGTGGGGAGCAGAGCAGGAGGGGAGCAGGCTCTGTGGCCATGCCTTCCCCTGAGACACACTGCACCGTGTCAGCCTTACAAGCAGATGCCAGCACAGGAGAGGAGGAGGTGGCACTGCTGAGTGGTGTGCCCAGCATCCAGAAGAGGGGCTGACCTGGTGTCCTGTGAGAAGGGCTGTGCCCTCTTCTGAAAAAGATGCAAGGGAACAGGCACAGCGTGTGATCTGAGAGGAGACCCGAAACCAGGGCTGCTCCCTTCTGCCACAAGCCAGCTTCAGACACTTTGTGCTTCCAGGAAATTGCTTTGGTTTGCACAGAGCAACAGTGATGGCTCAGGTGGCAGAGGTGAGGGGCTGTGGGGTCAGGGCAGCAGGACTGGGGGCTCTGGGCTTTCCCCAGCTGCCTGTTGGCACCACAGGCAGATTGTGCCACACTGCCAACTCCCCACCTTGTGAACAAACCAGTGACTGGGAAGGGGGCACTGGCAGGAGACCCCAGGGCAGTCCTGCTCTCCTTCCATGTGACAGCTGAGCACACTTGGTGTGGGAGCTGCTGGAGGCAGGACAGCCTGCGTTGGCAGGGACAGTAGCTGTGCTGCTGGGACAGCCACACGCTGCGCCCAGGGCTGCATCCTGCCAGCTCTCCTCTGCCAGGGGATTTTCCAGCACAGGTACCAGCCGTGCTCCAGCTGCAGACTTTTCCCAGCACACACCCTCACCCTGAGCCCGTCCCGCAGTGCCAAACCCACCCAAAATCAGCGATGCCATGGGCTGAGCATGCTGGGCATGGGGCAGCCCCGCTGGTGCTCTGCAGGGCCCTGCGCTCAGGCCTTTATCTGCCAGCAGCACCTGCCACACGCCTGTCTGGGGGCACGGCTGCGCTGCTTAGCGGGGCTGCAGTTGTGCAGGAGACGGAATTCATCTGCTTGCCCTCATCCACATGCAAGGAAAGGCCCTGCCCGCCCTTCTCCCACCAGCGCTCGCCTTTCATTTGTCTCGCAGCCGCCGCTTTTGGCGCTGAAAGCCAAGGAGAGGGGCAGAGCCTGCTCCCCCCGAAGAGCTCCTGCATGAATTAGGGGGGGTGAAGGCAGCCTTTGTGAGCCGGGCGGGAGCAGCTGGTGCAGCAGCTGTGTCCCAAACCCTGCCTCATCCCGGGAAGCGCCGGGCTGAGGCTCCCCGGGGATGGGGAGAGCCATGCGCTCCCGCCCGGCTGCTGGGCTTGCCTTTTCCCCCTTCCCCAGATGGAAGAAGCATTAACTGTGTGCAAACATCTGGTCTAACTGTTGCTTATGCTTCGTAGTAATGATGATATTGCAGTGGAAGGGCTCTGGAGAATGGGGCCTGGAATATTAGAAGGGCCAAGTGTTAATTAACTGTATTAATTTCCTTTAAGCAAGGCAGCGTTTCTGTTTGCGCTCTGCTGATGAAGAAATGAGGCACAGCGAGTTGATTTGATTGGTCACGGACATGCACCATGTTCCTGCTGTATTTAAGGATGGAGGGATCCAGGGAAATCACGGCCCTGCTCAGCATTGGCCATCCCCAAGGGAATTGCAGCCACTGCCAAAATATCCAGCATAAAATCCTTTAAAGCCAGAAACCTGTTAGGCCAGCACAGGGGCACTGCATGTCAGGATCTGCTCCGCGGCAGAGGAGTTAACTCATCCCTGCAAATGCCTCCTGCATCCCACGCACTGCTGGGAAAAACAGCCTTTCTCCTGCACAGCCCTTCTGCACAGCCCTCCTCCTGCACAGCCCCTCTCCTGCACTGCCCTTCTTCTCCACAGCCCCTCTCCTGCACAGCCCTTCTCTTGCACAGCCCCTCTCCTGCACAGCCCCTCTCCTGCACAGCCCTTCTGCACAGCCCTTCTTCTGCACAGCCCTCCTCTTGCACAGCCCTCCTCTTGCACAGCCCTTCTCCTGCACAGCCCCTCTCCTGCATCCCGGGCAGGTCAGGCTTGGCAGCGGGGCTGGGGCAGGAGCCAGCGCTGGCTCCCAGCCCTGCCTGGCAGCAGCAGCGGGTTGGGAGCCACTGAGCTCGGCCACCGACCCCCGGGGACACATGGGGCAGCTCATGGGGGGCACAGAGGGGTGAAACCCTGGGCTCGGCTCAGTGGGGGTTTGGGTGTCTGGATCAGACCCCACTCCACACTTTCCTTAGGAGTTTCCCCACATCTGGGCCCTGCAAAAGGCCTAATCTTTAAATGCTTTTTAATTAATTTTTTTTTATTAGCAGGATGTGCTTTTTTCCTTTTTAATTTTGCTTCTTCATGCAGCAGGAGGTTATCAGTGTCCTGCAGGCAGGAGATCCTGGTGCTGGGAGCTGCCTGCCCCGTGTCCCCGGGTGGACTCTCATCTCCCTCAGCATATGGGGCCGCTCCCGGCTCCCTGCGCGTCCCCGTGTCCCTGCCTCTCCCCGGCCACGCGGTCCCACGGCCGCAGACAGCGCCTGGCACGGTCAAGTGCAGGTTGTGCTGCCGGCAGAGCTTTTCCTCTGCCCTCTCAGGGGTTATCAGGCAGTCCTGAAGGCGCTGCCGAGATCCGCAGCTGGTTTTGCTGTTTGCAAACACAGAATGCCGTGAATCACCGGCCGAACGCACGGGGCAGATTGCAGCGTCCCGGGCTGGAGCCTCCAGCCCGGCCCGACAGCCTCATCCGTGGGCTTTCAGCAAGGGAGGCTGGGCAGCCCTGCACCACTGATGTCCCCAAAGCTGCGGGGACCGGGCCAGGCTGGCCTGGCTGTCACCCCTGGGCGAGGGGGACACACGGGGGACAGCCGGGACACCAACGCCACCCTCTCCCCCAGCAGTGACACCCGCGGCTGGCGAGCCCGCAGGGCAGGGCAGCGAGCTGAACTTTGCCCGTGGGTGCGTGCCCGGTGCTCCGGGCAGGGGAGCGGCTGGGAGCCCATCACCCCGGCGGGGCTGAGCCCGGGACCGCTCCGCCCGAGCCTTGAACTCCCCCGGGGGGAAAACCGGGAGCCGGGGCCGGGTCGGAGCGAGGAATCCGCGGCGGCACACAAGAGGGGGACACAAAGAGGGACACGGAAGGGGACAGCCCCGGGGGGGAGACGGGGGCACAAACAGGGACAGGGGAAGGGTCACTCCCGAGGGGGACACAGAGACACAGGAGGAGACACCCCCGGGGGGGACACAGGGAACACAAACAGGGACAGGGGAAGGGGAGGGGACACCCCCGGGAGGGGACACCCCCGTGGGGGACACAAAGAGGGACACGGGAGGGGACAGCCCCGGGGGGGAGACGGGGGCACAAACAGGGACAGGGGAAGGGACACCCCTATGGAGGACACAGAGATAGGGGAGGGGACACTCCCGGGGGGGACAAGGGAACACAAACAGGGACAGGGAGGGGACACCCCCGGGGGGGGAACACAGAGCGCGCCGCACCCACGCGGCGCCCCCGCCGCGTCCCCGAGCCGCGCTCCCATTGGCCGCCGCCCCGGCACGGCGCCGCTGATTGGCGGGCCCGGGCTGTGTTCCGGGCTGTGCAGTATTGAGCTTCGAACCGGCCGTGTACCGACCGGGCCGAATACCCGACCGGGCTGCAGCGAGCCGGGCTGTACAGTGGGCCCGCCTGGGTGCCGTGCCGTGCTGTGAGCGAGCCGTGCCGTACCGAGCCGTGCCGTACCGAGCCGGGCTGTCCAGCGAGCCGTGCTGTACACCGGACAGGGCTCCGGGCCGGGCCGTGCTGCTCCCTGCTGTGCCCCGTGCCGTGCCATATGCCGTGCCCTGCTCCGTGCCAGCCCGTGCCCGGTGCTGCCGGCTGTGCCAGGCTGGGCCGTGCCACGCAGCACCTGCCGGGCCGGCCCTGCCCCGCCGCCGCTCCGGAAGGCGCAGGCCCGGGCGCCGGGCCGTGCTCTGCCTCCCCACCCACGGCCCCCGCCGGCTTTGGGGCGCTCCCCGCGGCTGGGACAGCCCCCCATCCCCCCGGCGTGTGTGACAGCTCCTGTCACCCCCGTCCTGCCGGGATCTGCGCTGTCTGTACCCCGCAGTGCTGGGGGGATCCTCACAGAAACCCTTCAGCAGCAGGGCAGCCTGGGGGTGGCTGTCCCTGTGCTGACCCCGTCCCTTGCAGGTGAAGAGGAAGCTGAATTTGGAGACGGATCACCAGTACATAGCAGAGAGTTTGCCAGTGAGCCGGGGCAAGGCCAGGAACCCTGCTAAAGGTATCAGCTCCACTCCCTCAGCCCCCTTGCCAGCCCAGCTCACAGCAGAGGTCCAGCAGCCCCACTGCTGCCCCAGGCTCATCCCTGGCAGGTTCTTCCAGGCCCTTTGTGTTGGTGTGGATGGGCTGTCCCTGCGGCTGGCCTGCCTCTGTCCTCTCTCCACACTCACTGCTGTGCCCTGTGCTGGTGGCACGGCTGTCCTGCCCTTCTGCTGGGCACCACACTGGCTCTGTCCCTGCCTGTGGATGGAGCTGGAGGTGCCAGCATGGTGCCAGTGCAGTGTCCCTGGTGGACCTACTGTTATCTCCCCCCGAGCCCTGCCTGGCACTCAGAGTCTCAGTCACAGCTGTGGTCACAACGGAGCACAGGTGTCACAGCCTGTGCCAGGTGCTGCAACATCCTTCCTGCAGGGCATTTGGGCAGCTCACCCTATTGCCCTGAGAAAACAGATTGGGTTTGGTCACTAGTCCACAAGCCACTTGCAAGCATGGCAGGAGTTTTGTGACCTTTCAGCTTCAGCTCTGGGTTTCCCTTGTGGCTGAATGACACTTGTCCTCCACGTCTGGCAGGGGCAAAGTCTCCTGGAGAGAAGTCCCGCTATGAAACCTCCCTGAACCTCACCACCAAGCGCTTCCTGGAGCTGCTGAGCCAGTCCCCAGATGGTGTGGTGGACCTCAACTGGGCGGCCGAGGTGCTGAAGGTGCAGAAGAGGCGCATCTACGACATCACCAACGTCCTGGAGGGCATACAGCTCATCACCAAGAAGTCCAAGAACCACATCCAGTGGCTGTATGTCCCCGGGCTCCTGGGGCTGTGCCTGGCTGTTCCTGGGGTGGGGGAGCTCTCTGGGTGGAGGAGTGTCTTATGTGGGTGGAGAATTTCAGGGTGGGGTCACCAGAGCTTCTGCTGCAGGCCAAGTGCTGGTCCCCTGTGGGAAGGGCTGTGCCCAGTGGCAGGAGGTTCCTGTGAGTCCCCCTGGGCTCCCCATGTCATCCAGGGGAGGGGGGGCTGCATCCAGCCTTGGGGATGGTCTGCTGCAGATCCCTGCAGGGCTGCTTCCCGGGCTGTGGGGTGGGACTGGCTGGCCTGGGTGGGCACAGGCAGCTGTGGGCTGGCTCCTGACGGGCACGGTGCTCCCAGGGGCAGCCAGGCCGCCGTGGGAGCGCCGGGCCGGCACCGGCTGCTGGAGAAGGAGCTGCGGGAGCTGCAGGCGGCCGAGCGGCAGCTGGATGACCTCATCCAGATGTGCACGGTGCAGCTGCGCCTGCTCACCGAGGACCCCGCCAACCAGCAATATCCTTTGGTTGTGGGGCGGGGCTGGCTGGGTGGGGCTGTGGTTGAGCCCCGGTGTCGCAGGCAGGATGTTTGTCTGCCCACATCCCCGTGTCCCTTCCTTGACCCGCCCCACCGCAGCCTATGTCACCTGCCAGGACCTCCGCAGCATTGTGGACCCCGCGGAGCAAATGGTGATGGTTATCAAAGCCCCCCCGGAGACCCAGCTGCAGGTGTCAGACCCAGCAGAGGTGAGCTGGGGCCACGCTCTGCTCCTCCTGTGCCCTCCCTGTACAGCCTGGTGTGCCCCGGGTGTCCCTGTGCCACCTTGTCTCACTCCTGTCCCCTCCCCAGGCGTTCCAGGTCTCCGTGCGAAGCACTCAGGGCCCCATCGATGTGTTCCTGTGCCCCGAGGACAGCTCGGGGGTCTGCAGTCCTGTCAAGAGCCCCTTCAAAGCCCCTGCTGAGGACTCTTCTCCCAGCCAGTCACAGCCCAGAGCCCCCCTGCTCCTGCATCCTGCCCAGGATGTGAACATGCCATTGCTGCCCGGAGAGCAAGGTGGGGCTGGGGACACGAGGGAGCTGGGGACACAAAGGCCTGGGGACACGAGGGAGCTGGGGACACAAAGGGCCTGGGGACACGAGGGGGCTGGGGACACAAAGGGCCTGGGGACACAAGGGAGCTGGGGACACAAAGGGCCTGGGGACACGAAGGAGGCAGGGACATGAGGAGCCTGGGGACACAAGGGAGGAGCTGGTGGGGTGTCACGGTGGCTCCCAGCCCCTCTGCTCTTGACACAAGCAAGGAGCTGGCATGCTGCTCGGGCACCCCAGCAAGGCAGGAGGTGGGAAGGCAGGATCTCCTTAGCCAAAAAAGCATGTTTTGGGGGTTTCTTTGGAGAGTATGAGGGATTTACAGCTGCTTTCCCTCCCCACAGAAGCGCTGCTGCCAGGGCTGAGCGCGCTGCCTGCCAAGAGCCCGGAGCAGGAGGTGAGCCTGTCCCCGCTGGCCTCCATGGACATGCTGCTGGAGCAGAGCAGGGAGGACTTGGCGGGCTTCTTGGCCGATGAGTTCATCAACCTGTCGCCGCCGCAGGCCCAGGACTATCACTTTGGGCTGGAGGAGGGCGAGGGCATCAGCGAGCTCTTCGACTGCAACTTTGGGGACTTCACCCCCTTGGACTTCTGAAGCTGCGCCCGCCCGGGTGCTGGGGGGAGCTGCCAGGGCAGGGGGCACGCTGGCAGGGCAGGGCAGGGCAGGGCTGCCCCTCTGGCTCCAGTGCCCGCTGTTGCTCCCCCATCCCTTTTTGCAATATTTTCTCGTTATCCCTCCAGCCCGCTGGCATCCCCAGCTCCAGCCCCACAAGAGGATGCCAGGGTGGGGTTCCCATCTCGGGGGACCCCCCTGTAGGGCCCTGATCAGGGGCGACTGCCCAGGGCAGAGCCACTGCCCCCCAGGAGCCCGTTCCAGAGCTTTAAGCAGTCCTGTGTATAGATTAATGATTTGATTAATTTATTATTGTCCCCTGGGGACAGCGTTTCATTTCCATGGGGGTTTGGGGGGGCTGTACAGCAGAGTGGGGGTGCTGAGAGTTTTTGTTGTGCTGGGAAGGGGTGGTGGAGATGTGGGGGGCGCTGGGTTAGGGCTGTCCCCCTGCCTGGGGGCTGCCAACAGCCTGGCTGAGCGTGGGTTATTTATTTATTATTTATGGCGTGTGGAGCTCTCCCAGGACATGGAGGGGGCAGGAGGACAGTGCTGGTGGGACACGGAGGGTGCCACCAGGGTCTCACCAGCACGTGCTGGCTTTGCTTGTGTCCAGAACAGGGCTGGCAGGGCCAGGGCTGTGGCAGGTGGCTGTGGGGACGGGGCTGGCTGGGGCTGGTGGCCCTGGCACCGTGTGCATGTCCCCTCAGGGGACACAGAGGTGTCCAGGGGAAGTGTCTCTGCAGGTGAGCACCCAACGCTGTCTCCAGGCTTTCCTCCCCTCCCTCTGCAGCCCTTCAGCCTTTTGGCTCTGGCTCCCCATCCCAGGCCGCTGGGGCTGGGAGAGGAGGGGAGGGGGGTCCTGGGGTCCCCCTGGGCCGAGCTGGAGACGCACTTTCACTTTTACTGCCATTTACAAGCTTGTGTTTCTCTGAGCTTTGTGTTTAATAAAGGTTTCTACTGACTCTGCCCTTCGGCTGTGCTCAGGTGCTGGGGCTGTGAGGGGTGGTGGGGACCTCTGCTGAGAAATCAGGAGGTTTGGGGTTCTTTTGTGCTCTGTTTTCCACTCTGAACTTGAAATCCACGACCAGGTATGTCCGTACCTGGGGCTGCCAGAGGTGCTTTGGTCCTTGGTCCCACACAGGGTGGGATCTGGGCCTGATCCTTCCCTCCCTGCTCCTCCAAAGAGGCTGTGCTGCAGGAGGATGGGATGATGGGTCTGGATGGGGTTTGCTTTCCTTTCAGCAGCCCCTGTCCTCACTTGGCCCCTCTCCTGCCTGGTTCCCTCCCTGCCTTCCCCCTGGTTTGGGGCAGCATTTTCCTGGCTGTGGCTGCAGCGTGGGGCCAGTGTGGAGCCACTCCATCCCGTGAGTTCCCAGCTTTCCCCACTCACCCAGCTCTTGGTGCTGCCTCAAGGCACCTGCTGGCACCAGTTCCCAGCCCAAAGTTTGAGGTCCCTGTGTCCTTGCTGGCTGGGGACTGGGACAGTCCTTGCTGTCTGCCAGCAGCAGCCCTGACCCTGTGTGCCCTGATTCTGCAGCACACCAGGACTGAGGGACAGTGGGCACCCCCAGGGGCTCCCTGGCAGCCAGGATGGGGCTCAGCAGGGCTGTGTCCCCTGCCCTAGTGGCAGCCAGGGCTGTGCTGCTTCCTGCCCGTGTTTGTGCACTTTCTCCCCTCCTCCTGCCCAGCCTGCTGCCTGGTTTTCCTTTAAACAGCCTGATAAATATTTCACCCTGACCACGTTGTGCAAGCTCACCCCGCTCCAGCAGCGCAGGCAATGGGATCCCAGGCTCAGGACAGGCTGCTGGGTGCCACAGAGAGCCCATCTCCACTGCCTGGCCTCCTGCCTGCATCCTTGTGCCTCTCTTCCCACACCTGGGGCAGTCCCTGGCTGGCTGTGCTGCCCCTGGATTGTTCTCACAGCTGGCAATGTGCGGGTGCAGGTGTGGGTGCCAAGCCCCACGGCTCAGCTCTGCTCACCATTCCCTTTCCCAGCTCTGCCAGTGTCCAAAGCGTGGCAGCAGGGCCAGCCAGGGCCGTGCCATCTCCAAAGCAGTGCCCAGCAGGGCAGTGTCACACACAGCCTGTCACCGCATTTCTCTTCACAGAGAACAGCAAGGCACAACTTGCCAAGAATATTTCTGGAATTTACATTCTCTGAACCTCAAAGAAAGAAAAAAACCCAATTCTGATCTCATTTACTGCTCCTGTGTTGTTCACAAGTAAAATGTGTTGTGAAAAAATCACCTAAAGAGAATTGGTAATTAAATTGTAGTGTATTTTAATTCATTAACCAAATAAATCCATGTGTGTGTGTGAAAACTGTCAGCTGACAGCCACAAAATTCTAAACAGTTAAGGACAATTAAGTGCTTGTACAAATTCAGTTAAAATATAGTGTAATATAGTATAGAATAATATAGTATAATAAAGAAATTAATTAGCCTTCTGATAAGATGGAGTCCTCCTCATCATTTCTCCCTGCCACGGGGGTCGTGCTGAATACCACAGGTGACCCCTGTGCCTGGGTGGGAGGAGCTGGTTTGTCACACTGCCACCCTTCAAACAGGGCTTCTTCACACCGTGACACTGGGCCTGTTCCTGCTGCCCTGACCCATGGCACTCCTGCCACAGAGCCAGGGCAGCAGGACAGGGACAGGTGGGAGGGACAGCCCTGCCTGCTGTGTCCTCCACTGCTCTTTGTCCCCTCGGGCGGCAGGTGCTGGGGCTTTTATGAGTTTCTGCAGGGTGCCCAGCCCAGCCATGTGCCAGTGTTGTGGTGCACTAGTTTATTTAGCTGTTCTGTCGCACTGGGTGGTTGGGAATTTGCACAGAGTAATTTTTATATTGCACTGTATAGCTTATGCTATATCACATGGCTTGTTATCCCTTTCCCCCATCTCAGGGTCTTTCCCTCACCCACCCCAGTACCCCCTGGTGGTCCCTCCCCTGGGTTACCCCTCCTGTCTCCACTCCTCACTGGTGTCCCACTGGCTGTAGGCATCTCCCCCTGTCCCCATTCCCGGGGTACAAAAGCTCCCTGCCACCAGGGAATGCTCTCTTCCTCCCATGGGTGTGTGTGCAGTGACCCCAATAACAAAGCACTCACTGTCCAGTCTTGTGTGATCTTTTGTCAAGTCCTACGAATCTCCTGGCAGGTCCACTCCAATGACTGTCCCCTGGACAGACCTGAAAAAGAAAGCTTTGGGGGTCACAGGCTGCCAGCTCCTCGCCAGCCATCCCTCCTCCCCTCCTGTGCCGAGTTCCGTGGTGATGGATGGTGATGGTGATGATGGTGATGATGAGGATGGTGATGGTGATGGTGATGAGGATGGTGATGGTGGTGGTGATCTGCAGTGCAGCAAAGGGAGAGTCCCCGGCACAGGAAATGGTTTAGTGGGAGCCGGGGGGCACAGGGAGAGGGGAGAGGACTGGCACTGACATCCCCAGCTCCACAGGGCTGTTCCCACGGGCAGCCCACCCCCAGCAGCAGCACAGCTCTGCCTCTTTCCCCGAGAGGAGGCAAAGCTCTCTGATGGCATCACCATCACCCTGCCCTCACAGGCAGCCTCTGGGAGCCCTGGCACTGCCACCCCCCCGGCAGGGACAGGGCTGTGCCCCCTGCAGCAGCACTGCCCAGCCCTGGGGGCTGCACTGCCACTCCACGTGAGCCGCGGTAAAAATAACCACTCTGCCTCCCAGGATGATTCACTTTGCAGCTGAAGGGTTTCCCTCTGCTATTTCGGGTGGCTGGAGAGGGAGCTGATGGCAGCTGCTTTGGAAGAGCACATGGCAGCGTTGGGAAGCAGCCCCAGGCACCGCCTGGTTTGATTTATCTGCTGCAAAGCTGCTTTTCTCTGCCAGGTGAAGGCAGCACGCTCAGGGGATGGCACCTTGCCCTCATCCTGCCTGCTCCTCGGGCTCTGAGCTCACTGCCAGGCACTGTGACCCCACAGGGACGTGTCCAGCCAGTCTGGGGTGCTCTTGGGCTGCAGTGGTGACCCACTGGCACTGGGAAATGCTGTGCAGGATCTGGGCACAGTCCTGAGCCCAGGCAGCCCCAGGGTGTGCTGGCCCTGTGCTGTGGGATTTGGGGTCAGGTGAGCTCCAGGACAGGCTGGCAGGGGCATCAGATGCCCCCCTAAGGGTTTGTACCTTTAACCCAACCCCCTCAGAGGGTCCTAGCAGGGTTTGGGGTCTCTATAGGCAGGGGTCTCTGCATCCCACCCCACCCTTCCCTATTTCCACTAAATGCTGTGCAGGATCTGGGCCCAGGCAGCCCGGGGTGTGCTGGCCCTGTGCTGTGGGATTTGGGGTCAGGTGAGCTCCAGGACAGGCTGGCAGGGGCATCAGATGCCCCCCTAAGGGTTTGTACCTTTAACCCACCCCCCCTCAGAGCATCCGAGAGGGGTTTGGGGTCTCTATAGGCAGGGGTGTCCTGCCCCACCTCTGCATCCCCCCCCACCCTTCCCTATTTCCACTCCCCAAAACCTCTCCTGTTTCCTCACGAGGAGGGAGCTCAGGGAGCTGGAGAGCAGCACTGTTTATTTCTGGGATGCTGTTGAGTGGCTGCTCCCTGTAATTCCTCCCCGCCGAGGGGCTGGGGAGCAGAGCAGAGCCCTGGTGTCCCCCACGGCCGGGGCCATGTCCCCCTTCCCTGCCGTGGCTTGCTGGGAGTTGGGAGCCCCTGTTACCTCCTGCCATCAGCAGCTTGCCTGAACTTCACCCTCACTCTCAGGCTGCTCCTTCCCACATGGAAACTCATGCTGACCCCCAGGCATCCCCCTGGGCACCGAGTGTGGATTTTTGGGGCAGATGGGTGTGGGAATCCCTTCCAAGGGGAGGATTTTGATCCAGGGCAGAGCCTCACCATCCCCCAAGCCCCTTCCATGCTCCCTGGCAAGGTGAGCCCCTGTCCCTGCTGCGCCCTTGCCTGTGTTTTGTTCCTGCTCCCATTTCAGCTGGATTTGATGATGGCTGTGCTCAGCAGCCCCAGCCCTCGGGCCTCTCTGCCTCCCTGGGGACAGGGACAGCCCCGTGCCACCCCGGAGCCCCTGGATGCCCCTGCCAGGGCCCAGCTGGGCTTCTTCCACCTCTTTGGCCTTGCACACCCCTGGAACAGCTGGCAGATGGTAAAAATAGCTGTGATGCCGTGGGCTCAGCTTGGAGCACGTTATCCCAGAGGGAGCAGAGGTGAGCGAGCTCCACGTGCTGCAGCTGGTCACGCTGGGGAGGGAAGGAGCTGGGATCTGAGCCTGGCCTGAGCTGAGCTCAGCTCAGCAATCGGGGTGTCCTGGAGAGCTCCAGGTGAAAGCAGAGGTGTGCTGAGGGAGGCAAAGCCTGCCTGGGGCTTTGCAAAATCCAGGCAAAACAGGTTCACGCCCCTTTCTCAGGAAGCGAAATCCTGGAATGCAGGCACAAGCCCCCAGGTGCCTGTGCCAGACAGCTCCTCCTCCTGTCCTCCTCCTCCTCCTCCTCCTCCTCCTCCTCCTCCTCCTCCTCCTCCTCGTGTCCCCCAGCCTGCTGGGGCAGGGGGGCTCACATCTCTGGAGGTACCAGGGTCCTGGCATGCTGCTCCAGAGGGAAGCAGCTCAGAGCGAAGGCTGCCTGGCACTGAGGGCATGGAGGGGCTGGCACCACCAGGAGCTCATTGAAACTGGGTGTCAGGGGACACCTCCAGGGCCACCAAAACCACAGTGGGACCACCTGTGGTCAAACTGGGGCCAACCCAGGGCCAACTGAGGAAACCAGGACCTTCCCAGTGCCATCAGTGTCCATGTTGGGACCACCTGTGGTCAAACTGGGACCAAGTGGAGGCACAGTGGGACAACCAGGGCTATGCTAGGACCAGCCATGACCACGGTGTGACCACCCATGGTCAAACTGGGGCAGCTCAGGGCCATCTGGGGCAACCAGGGCTACCCTGGGGGCAAGAGCAACCACACTGGGACCACCCATGGTCAAACTGGGACCACATTGGTGTGACCAGGTCTATGGTGGGGACAACAACAACCACACTGGGACCACCCACAGTCAAACTGGGACCAACTGGGACCTCGCTTAGGGCACCCAGGGCTGTGGTGGGGTCAACAACGACCACAGTGGGACCATCCATGGCCAGACTAGAGCCACGCTAGGGCCAGCTGAGGCACCCAGCGCTACAGCGGGGCCACACGGAGAGCTACGGTCACGCTGGGACACTCAGGGCCGGTCACACACCCCACGAGTGACAGCCCCCGGGCTGCTCCGCTCCGACCGGGGCTGCTCCGGTCCGACCGGGACCGCCCCGGGGCGAGCGGGCACCGGGACACAGCGCGGCCCCGCCCCTCCGCCAAGACTATTGGTGGTTATTGGTATCAATCACAGCTCGTGGCCAATCGGATGGCGGCGGGGCGGGCCCTCCGCGGAGCCAAAGTTGGCTGGGGCGGCGGAGCCGCTCGGCTGAGTCGGGATCGGCGGGGCGCGACCTGCGCACGGACCGGACCGGGCCGAGCCGAGCCGAGCCGAGCCGAACCGAACCGAACCGAGCCTGCCGAGCCGGCCCGAACCACCCTGCCGAATCGAACTGAGCCCAGGCGAACCACCCTGCCAAAACGAACTGAGCCGCACCGAACAGAACCGAGCCCATCCCTACAGCAGCGAACAGAACCGAGCCCATCCCTAGAGCAGCGAACAGAACCGAGCCCATCCCTACAGCAGCGAACAGAACCGAGCCCATCCCTACAGCAGCGAACGGAACCGAACCCATCCCTACAGCAGCGAACAGAACCGAGCCCATCCCTACAGCAGCGAACAGAACCGAACCGAACCCGTCCCTCTGGCACGCAGCTGATCCCCAAGGCACGGAACCAGACCCATCCCTACCGCACCGAGGCCGTTCTTTCCGCACCCAGCCCATCCCTACGGCACCGCACCGCTCCCGTGCCCCGCGGTACCGCACCGATCCCGCACCCCGCGGCACTGCTCCGCATCCCAGAGCACCGCACCGACCCGTGCCCTGCGGCACCGCACCGATCCCGCACCCCGCGGCACTGCTCCGCATCCCAGAGCACCGCACCGACCCGTGCCCTGCGGCACCGCTCCGCATCCCAGGGCTCCGCACCGCGCCCTAAGGCTCGGCACCCTCCGGCCCCGCTCCGCCCCGCGGTGCCCGCAGCGCCCGCGCCCGCCGGGACCATGATGTCGTGTGCCGAGCTGCTGGCCGTGTGCCTGCTCTCCGCAGACCGCGGCCCCAAGCCCCGCCGCCAGCCGCTGCCCATCTTCCACGACGTGAGTACCGCGGGGGGACCCCCGCACCCTGCCCGGCCCGGGGCCGCCGTGCCCCCCTCGGGAGCCCCGCACGGGCCCGCCGGGTGAGGCTCCTTCCCGGAGGAACCGGCCCGAGGGACGCGACCGTGCCCGCCCGGAGCTGGCCATGGCCGCGATGGCTTCAGCAGCGATGTCGTGTCCTCCCGCTGGATGCTGGGCCTCGGGTGGCTGCAGACAGCCCACGCCTCTTCCAGAGCTGGCTGTCATGACTCCCGGAGCGGGAGCTGTGTGGCAGGAACGCTGTGGAAGGTTCCCTGGAGCTGTTCACAGCCACGGGATCCAGCAGAGCGTTGCCTGCGGCAGCCCCCGGGTGCAGCCCCCGGGTGCAGCCCCTGTCCCTGCCCGCTCCCGGCGCTCCGGGATTGCGGAGGAGGATGCTCCGCGCGGGTTGCGGGTTGCCGCGGCATCCCGGCGGCGGTGGGTGGCACGGGGGAGTTGGAAATGCAGGTGGTGGCTCTTTGTGTTCGGGGATGCTGGCACAGTTCCTCCTGTCACACCGCGTCCCCTCCTGTGACGGGGCCGGGCTCCGGGGGCGGCTGCATGCCCGCCAGGTGCCAGGGGCACAGCCCGGGCCACAGCCACCCCTGGAGCACCTCCTGCTCCTGCCCAGATCTCCCTGGGGACAGAGCCCTGGCATTGCCGAGGCTCCGGCACCGCTGCGCTCCGAGCCACCCTGTGGACCGGGGACATGCGGGGACAGAGGTGCTGCCCTGCCCTGCCGCAGGGAGGAGAAGGACAAAGCCAGCGAGGGCTAAGGATGAGGGCTGGTGGCGCCCGGGCACCTGAGCAGCCCAGGTCGGTGCCAGCTGTCCTGTGCCAGCTGTCATCTCCGTCCTGACCCGCTCCAGGCTCACCCCGTGCCCAGTCCATCCCAGAGGATGGAGCAGCAGATCCCGGCAGCACTTTGGGAAGGTGAATGCCACGGCGGGTCCAGTCCAGAGCTCCTGGCACCGGGGAGGCGCTGCTCGCAGCTGCCAGCTGGGGTCGGGGTCTGCCGGGGGCTCGGGCTGCCCGGCGCTCCAGCCAGCATCATTAACCGCACTAATTACTCGGCTGCGGGAAGGTGGGCAGGAGGGGGCGGGTGGTGACAGCTGTGTTCCAGCTCAGCTCCTCAGGGCACTCGTTGAGTCGCACATCCATCCCTCAGGGTGTCATTAAAGCAATTAAAATGGGAAATGTTAACAACGCTAGCAGCTGCTTGCCGGGTTCTGACGGCTTCTCTTCCTCTGCCCTGTGACTCCTTTGCTCCCACCTTTGCTCCGGAGCTCGGCAGGGCGAGTTTAATCCCTGCCCCTTTGGGTCTGGGCACTTGGCCGGTGCCCAGCTGCCCCCAGGCTGGTCGGGACGAGCATCCCTCGGCAGCTCCTGCCCCGCCTGCTCCCGGCAGCGCTGCCCACCACGCATCCCGGTGGCTGCTGCTCCTCTGGGACCTGCCTGCACATCTCCTGCCTTTGGCGGAAGTGAGGAGGAGGAGGAGGAGGAGGAGGGCTTTGCCCGAGACGCTTCGCTGCAGGCGCGGTGCGAGCCGCAGTGCTGCCATGGCCCTGTGCAGCAGCTCCAGCCGCGGGCACATCCAGCCTGCTGCCCGGGGCTGGCTCTCTCCCCTCCCGGGACACCGAGCTTCAGGAAGGACAGGTTCTGGTGCCTGGCCGCAGCCTGTCTGGCTGCCGCGGGTCGATGTCGCATTGTCCCCAGGGCAGCTGTCCCCTCCCCAGCAGCCTGTCCCTGGCTGCCTGTCGAGCCTCCAGACCTGCAGGCAGGGGGAAATCCTGTGATCTCCTTCCTTCCCGGGGTACGTGTGGGGCTCATGCCATAAATAAATGCTGCTCCAGTGCCTCTTCCCTCGGTCTGGTGAGGCTGCGGCTGCTGGGGCACAGCCCAGGGGCTGGGGGAGCATCCCGGGCTCCAGGCAGTGCCCCTGTGCCTCTGAGGCTGCACCCCTGCCCTGAGGCAAGAGAGGGATGAGGCAAGAGAGGGATTCCTTGCAGGGCCCTCCAGCAGCCCACGCAGACCAAATCCCCCTCCCAGCCTGGCTTTGCGTCACCTTCCCCTGGATTTGTCCCACTGGGGACAGAGTCACTGCCATGGCTGAGCGTGTGCCTGTGCCCAGGGAGGGGACAGCACTGGCATGGGGGCATGAAGGGCTCTGTGGGGCATGAAGGGCTCCGTGCTGGTCCTGGGCTCAGGCAGGGACGGGCTGGCTGCAGGCAGCTGGAGCCAGAGCCCTGCCATGCTGGGGCCTGTGCCATGCCAGGGTCTGTGCCATGCCGGGGTCTGTGCCATGCCAGGGATGTGCCATCCAGGTCTGTGCCATGCTGGGGGCTCTGCAGCAGACGTGGCCTTGCCCCGGGGGCACTCACAGCTCCTGCCTGTGCCACGTTGGTTTGGAGCTGTCGTGTGTGCCCTGGTTTGTGTAACCCACTGAGCCTTGGCAGTGGGGCAGAGGCACCCACTCTGTGCTGAGGCTCCTGCTGAGCCAGGAGGGGCTCACCCCAGCTTAGAGACCTCCTCAGCCCAGGGGTGAGCCCCTGAAGTTGTGTCTGCCTCTGAGCCCGCACACAAACCCTGCTGAGCAAGGCCAGCCCGTGAGTGGGAAATGTTTGGCTCCAAGTGCCTGGGTGACACTCGACTGTCTCTGAGATGAGCAGGGTGGCCTCTGTGACACCTGGAGCCACACAGGTGTCATTACAGGAGCCATGTGTCCCTCTGATGACACAGAGCTCTGCAGGATGCAGCTTCTCCTGTGATGGAGAGTCCATGGCAGGGTCTGCCCCTGCAGCCGTGACACCCCACACCCCTTAGCCTGGAGAAAGCTTTGCTGTAAAATCCAGAGAAATCGCTGCTGTTTGGGAGCTGCAGGTCCCCGGCTGGGATCCAGGGATGGATGGCTGGTTACCTGCTCCTCCCAGCCCAGGGCAGCCCCGCTGGGGCAGGAGCAGCTCGCTGTGCTCGCCGGAGCATCCTCCAGGGAGCTGCTCCTGCCTCCAGCCCTAGAACAGCCTCTGCCCAGCTGCAAGCCAGAGTTTGGGGGGTTTTCCTGGGCAGCTCCTGCTTTGCCTCAGTTTCCCAGGGCGGTGTCAGGGCCTCAGAGCAGCACGGGGCTGGGGAGGAGCTGGGACAGAGGAGCAGCGGAGCCTCTGCCTGCTCCGAGGGCAGAGTGGGGCAAGAACAGAAAGGTTCTGTCTCCTTTCCCAGCCCTTTTCCTTTCCTAATCTTTCTTCAGACCTGCAGATTTCATCAGCCAGGATGATATAAAGGACAGTTGCCACACAGACAATTTTCTGTCGTTGTCTCCATTAGGATGTTCTGTACAAAACCTTGTACATTTTGGGCTGGGAAAACATTGCCAGGCTTCAGAAGTGATGCTGTTCCTCACTAGAGTCAGCCTCAGAGCTTCCAATAATTCCTGGTGAATCAGCTCCCCAGCTTTCTCCTGGGGCATGGGAGAAGCCTCATGGTTGGGAATCTGCGCTGAGACCCTGAACTGGAGCAGCTCTCCAGCTGTGCTCTGTGGCAGAAGCAGTTACAGATTAATTAGTTCATTAATGATTAATTGCAGTGATTGTGCATGCCGGGGTGTTGTGGAAGGGCTGTGCTGAGGGCTGGTTATGGAGCTCAGGGCAGGAGCTGCTCCTCCGTGCAGGTGCTGGAGTGTTGGAGATGCACAAAGTGCTTCTTTACAGACTGGGTTTCTTCCTAATGTTCTTTCGTTTAAATGGACTGAAAAATTAAACAGTTGCCATCACAAGGATGCAGCAAAGTCTGTTCTGCTTCGCCTGTGTGTTCTCTAAAGCTGCTTGCTGTGAGTGCCGGGCTTGCTCAGCCAAGGGCTCTGTGCATTAGAGGCAAGAAATGGGTTTAATCATTGGCAAAGGGGAATTTCCAGCAGCCTGTGCTGTCCTGACAGCTGGGGCTTCTCCCTGAGCTCCTGGCGGTGGTTTTCCGTGGTGCTGGGTGCTGCCTGCCTCTCTGCTCAGTGCCCTTCTCTCCCTGCTGCCACGCTGAGCCCTGTTGTGTTTTGTCTTGCAGATTTTCCGGCGAGCCGACAAGAACGGTGAGTGCTTTGTTCCTGCCTGGCTCCTTCCCACCGGGAGCTTTGGCTGGAAGAGGGAGGGTGGAAAACGCTTTTCTGCTTCCCCTGGATCCCAGAGCCTGCCCAGGGCTGGGGAAAGGGCTCCCCCAATTCCCCATCCGAGCACCACGCAGGACACGGCCCCTTCCAAACCCTGCTCCTGCCCAGGGGCTGGCAGGCTTCTGCTCGGTCCCACGCAGGGTTGCTTCTGTCTCTGTGCTCAGTGCAGGCTTTTACAGGTGCTCCTGGCTGGGTGATCCTGTTTCTAGGTGCCCCTGGTATTTGGGAGTTAGGCTCTGCTGCCCAGTTTCTAATCCAGCACCCCTAAACCAAGCGGTCCAAAATCACAAGTGGTTTCCCTGAGCCTTCCCACACTCTCTTGGGCTCTTTTCCTTCATGGTAGCTTAGGAGATGCTTCTATTGCAGATCACAATGCAGCCCAGGAGCTGAAGTCCTCCACAGAGAGAGGAAAAAGCTCTTGAGTCTGTGGAGAGCCCTTTCTTTCCATGGAAACCTGATGCTGCCCTGCATCAGGTGCTGGTTGCTCTTGGACAGTCTGCATGCCGCTGCAATGGGGCCTTTAGGGAAGGGCTGAAATCCCCACCTGCCATGCCAGCAGCACCCAGTGTTTTTGCAGGGCTGGTCGGCCAGGCTCTAGGGAGATTTGTGCTGTAATTATCATGCAGAACACGCCCAGCCCCGTCCCACGCGGCCTGCAGGGCTGGGATGCTGCTTTCCTCAGATATATAATTACTCTTCCCTCTCCTTTGAATGCAGATGATGGGAAGCTGTCATTTGAGGAGTTCAAGAACTATTTCTCTGATGGCATCCTGAGCTCGGAGGAGCTGTGGGAGTTGTTCAGTGGCATTGACAGGCGTCACTCAGAGTGAGTACGTGGCGGTGGCACGGAGGGGACACAGGAGCAGCTAAAACTGCCTGACTGGAGGTGGAGGAGGCTGGGGGGCGGGTGTGATAAATAGTCAGGGTGAGACAAGCCCACCTCTTGCCACACGCAGGTGTTCAGAGCCACTGAGCAGAGCCCTGGGAGTGCTGAGAGCAGTCAGACATTTTGAGAGCAGCCGTCGGATTTCCTGCAGCTCCAAAGGCAAGCAGGCACTGAAAATGCCATTCTTGTGGTTTGGAAAAGGCACTCCAGGAACAGCCAGCCCGGGGAGCAGGCTGTGTGTCTGCAGGAGCCTGTGCTGGTGTGGGGACACACAAAGTCACAGACTCTGCCACTGCTGACTCAGGAACTGCCTGGCACTTATGTAAGAGCTGCTTTCCACCACAAGTGGGCCTGGTGCACGTAACAGGGAATTTAGGGCAGCTACTTGCAAAAAAAAGAAAGCCCCACAGAGCAGGAGAAGGAGTTGTGTTTAGCTCTGGTCTCCTTGTGAGTAGTGCTATCCAGAGGGCTCTGTTTGGCTTGGCTGGGATTCTCATCCCAGCTTTTTGGGTGGTTTTGGCCTCACTGGGGTCTCTGCCCAGCTGGGTGCTGTGGGTGTCTGTCCTGGCACTGGGGGGAGCTGGGTGCTACTGAATGCATGGCTGGGTCTGTGCAAACCTTGGGGTGCTGCTGGGGCACAAGGGGCTGCAGCTTCCTCCCAGTCAGGGCAGGTTTGGCTTCCCCAGCACCAGCATCCCCTGCACCTCTGACACCCTTGGCCAGGGCGCAGGTCCCTGCCAGGGTGAGGAAATTTGGTCCCAGGGCTCTGCAGGGAGCCAGGGCAGTGGCACAGAGGGCTCTTGTCACACTGGGATGCCACCAGATGCCACCACAGCAGACACCCAGTGCCATCACCCACTGGGGAGTGGGGCCATGGGAGCGAGGGGCTCCCAGGGCTGTTGGAGCTGGGTTTGGTCCCTCTGCAGTGGTGGGCAGAGGGGTGGGCAGCCTTGTGCTGCTTTCCTGGGAGCCTGCTGCTTGGGCTTGTGCATGTGGGCAGCAGGAGGTGCCTCCTGAAAGCCTCTCTGTCTCTGGGCTGTGATCCCAGGAAGCTGCAGTGAGTGTTCCCCTTCCTCTGGAAATGCTCCTTTCCTCTTGCTCCATGTTGGGGTGACCTCAGAGTCACAACAGCCCTGGAAAACACAGGGTGCAGTGAAAGCTGCACCAAGGGAAATAAAGGTTGGATATAGGGGAAAAGTTTTTCATGGAAAGAGTGATAAATTTGTGGCATGGCTGCCCGGGGAGGTGGTGCAGTCCCCATCCCTGGGTGTGTTTAACAAAGCCTGGATGTGGCACTGGGTGCCAGGGTTTAGTTGAGGGGTTGGATTTGATTATCTTGAAGGTCTCTTCCAACCCAGTGAATTCTGTGAAGTTGGGAGCTTTAGCCCAGCTCAAAACTGAGCAGGGAAGGTGTCCTGCCTTCAGGTGGGGCTTGTTCCATCTGTCTGGAGCAGCTGGGGAGGCCTGACTGGGCTGTGCTGCCCCGGAGCCCTGGCTGCAGCAGTGTCCCCCCAACGAGGGCAGCTGTGACAGCATCGAGCTGGTCACATCTCTTAGCAGGGCATGAGCCTTGGGTCTTTGTTCTCTTCCTGCCACCAAGAGCAGAAGGGACCCTCAGACAGAGTTGTTTGCAAATTCCTGCAAATGTAGGAAACATGGGGTTTGTGGAGTGCAGGATTTGGTGCTGAGGGCTGTGCTGGTGCCCTGCTGTCCCCATGGTGGCTTGGACATCCCTTCTCCCCTGGGCTTGTTCCTTGCACTGGCAGGAACTTAATGTTTCAGAGAGCTGGCCAAAGTTTGCTGCCAGACTGAAGAGTATTACAAAGCTGGGAAGCAGCTAGAAGCTCTCCAAGCAGATCTGCTGTGCTGCTTTTGTGTCCTGAAGCTTTAGTGATGATGGGAAAGTTTCACCCTCCATCCAGCAGGTGGGTTTGGTGCTGTGTTTGTCATGTCTAGGCTGGAATTTGTGTTTCCTCATCCTGCCAGGCTGACCTGAGGAGGGGCAGCAGCAGAGACCCCCAGACCCCTCCTGGCCCTCACCCTTCCCTGGAACCTGCAGCTGCTGGGCCCAGGGCTGACAGCTGGGAACATGAATATTCCAGAGGTGTCCCACATTTCTTGTTGTCCTTCCAGAGAGCCCCATGCCCTCCTCTGTCCACCTCCCACCCCTCTGGCTCTCAGGTGGAACACACCTGTCCATCACACAGCTCTGCTGGGGTCACTTCAGAGCCTACATCTCCACACAAGGCTGGTTTTGTTCTGCATTTTAGAAAATGGTTCCATAAAGTGTCCCCTCACTTTAACTCTGACATTTCAAAGTTGATGTTGAACCCAAATTCAGCTCTGGATGGCAGCTGGTACAACAGCAGCTCCATGGCTTTGTTTGGCTGGTCCAGAGCTCCACACCAACTCTGGCAGTGGCACACTAAGGTTCACCTTCCTGGAGAAGAGCATTTTCATCCTCTGAACGTCTGGGTGAGAAGAGACGGATGTTTATGGAAGTATGAGAGCTCCATAGCTGCATCCAGACTTGCAGGGGTTGAATGCCTGCCCTGTGGAACCTGCCCAGGGAATTGCTGTTTGGATTTTACCTGTCCTCCTGTCCTGCACCTGTTGGGGAAATTGAGAAAAACAAGGCCTAGAAAATGCATCTTTCCATGAGGGTGTTCAGGAATTGGGTGCAGATTGCTCAGAGCCTTTCACCTGGAGCCACAAGGGGTGGAAGTGCTGACCTGGTGCCTCTTAAAATCTTTTGGTGGAAATAACCTCAAGCCTGTGATTGTGTGGAAGAAGGGATTTGAGTGGATTCCCTCTCCTCTCTTTACTCAGACACTCTGCAGCATCAGCCAGCCCCTGATGATGGAGAGTGACTGAAACACTCCGTGTCACACAAAAAAAGGTTTGGAAACCAGATCTGTGATGGCAGTGGAGGTTCCCAACATGATAAATTATTTTAAAAAACCCAAAAAACCAGTCTGCTTTTCTGCAGCTGATTGCTGTTTTCTTGCATAAATTCCAGGCACATTCTGACAAAATCCCAACAGCATAATGATGACAAGCTCCTCCATCATCAGTTCAGGCTTAATTACAGTTAATCAGTGGTTTGAGCACAGTCAAAATACAGTTATGGGAAATGTGGAGAGTCTCAGGATGAGTGCTTTGGAGGCAGAGGATGGCTCTTCTCTTGGAGTGGGAATGGCAGAGAGGAAAGCCTGCTGCCCCTGGCAGCCCTGCAAAATGGGTCAGGATTTGGTGTGCACATTCTGTCCCTGAGCCCCACCCTGTTTTTGGTGTGAATCAGTTCTGGCAGCATGAGAATGGCCCCGGGGTTTGTCTGCTGTGCTCTGTCTGCCCCTGCCTGTGCCAGGGGCTGCTGCAGCCTGTGGGACGTGGGAGAGGCTCCCCTGCAGGGCTGCTGATGGAGCAGGGGCAAAAGGAGCAGGTCTTCCCTGGACAGCTCCCAGAGGGAGGATTTCTGCCACGAGATGTTGTTGATTGCTTCGATGTTCAGTGGTTTAGTCATTGATTAGCTAACATTTCTTTTTAAGCAGCAAGCAGCCGAGATATAAAGAGTTATTGATGACCTCAGAAGCCACAGGGTGGGAGTTGATGGCAGCTCCTTGTCACACCTTGCTGCAGCTGGAATGGCAGCGAGTTGGGCTGGTGGCTCCTGCTGAAACCAGTCCCAGCCCCAGGTGCTCACTGGGACCAGTGCAAATGCCTGGATAACACAATGTGTGCCCCAGGTGTCCACATCCCCTCCGTGGTGACTCCTGCCCCTCTCTCAGGTGGCAGCCAGGCTTTCCCTGCAGTGCCAGCTCTGGCAGGCTGTGCTGTGGGTGCTGCAGTGCCAGGGCTCTTGCAGCACTGCAGCAGCTCTGCAGGCTCCAGGCAGCTGCCAGAAATAAAGGGGAAAACTTCAGAAGGAGCAAACCCTTTTTCCAGTGCACACTTGTGCCTCAAACCCCAGTGTCCGTCAGGCAGAGCTGCCCAGAGATGGGATCAGCAAAGTTGGAGGTGGCAGAGCAAGGGGCTGTGGCTTTGCAGGTTTATCTGGATTGAGTCTCGAGGGAAACACGATTTTTTCTCCACTTGAAAAGTGCCTGCAGTGCCAGGTCAGTCTGCAGAGCCCTGCCTAAATCAGCTGCTGTGTGTTTAAAATAGCTGAGCTGAATCCCAGCCTCACACTGTCCCTCTGTGCTGCCCCAGAGCTCCAGCTGCAGCCCCAGAGCAGAGGGGCTGCAGTCCCCTGCCCTGCCTCTGCCACCCTCACACCAAAATATTCCCCTGCCTTGAACCACTGCCCACTGCTAAAGTGCTCTCAGTGGAAGCCCAGGAGAAAGCAAGAGACAGAAACAGCCTTTGCTGTTTCAGGAAAAGCTGTAGGAAGATTTTTACCTTAATTATTTCACCTTAAATGGCATTTTGGACACTTCACACGCTGTTCTCTAATTTTACATGGGGGTGATTTTGTCCCTTTGCCCTGTGAGCAGTGTCAGAGGGGGGACAGGGAGATGTGGCCGTGGTTTCCCAAACCCTGGGCAGCAGCACTGCAGCATTCCTTGTGCTGGGAGCCTGGCAAACTCCAGGTACAGCCACTTCCTCTGTGTGTGACAGCACTTAAACACTTAAAAAACACTTGAAAAGCTCTCTTTGGGGCTCTTTTCCACTTTCCCAACCAGGATTAAAATTGGTTGTAATCATCTGGGGGATTCTGAGGCAGCAGAAGGCCTGGAGCAGAGGCTGATTTGAATGAATGCCATGCTGGGCTCTGTCCCTGCAGGCTCTGGGCATGGAGAGCAGCTCTGCCTCCGTGGCTTTGGCCACCTGAGCAGATCCTACAGCACCATGCAGACCCATCCCAAAACCTGGGGCTGTTTCTGGACGTTCCCTCCTCCCTCTCCCCCCCAGCAGCACCTTTAGCAGCCACGGGAGGGACCAAGCCCTGCAGGGATGCTGGGGGGAATGTGCAGTGCAGTGCTCTGATAGTGAAAAGGGTGGGGGTCTGGCCCCTGCCTGCAGGATTTTGGAGCCAGGTCCCTGCTTTAACGACCTTCAGGGCAGGAACAAGTGCTCTGGAGGGCTGAGAGGTCATCCAGCCCCTGGGAGCCTGCAGACACCCTGCAGCACTGGGCTCTGAGGGAGGGAAGAGGAGGAGCAGCAGCTGGAGGGGTCAGGCCATGGTGGGGACCTGGGCTGAGGTCAGGGATGAACAGGGAGGGAGCCCTGGCTGGATGCTCCCCACCTCTGGGGAAGAGGCTGGGTTGAAGAAGCAGCTCCAGGGTTCAGAAATGGGGCTGCCAACCCAGCTGGGCAGCCAGGGGTGTGGGGCACCTCCATCCCTACCCCACTCTGTGGCCACAGGTGCTCTCCCAGCACACTTCAGCTCCAGGAGGTGGTGGTGGAACAGATCTTCCTGCTCCTTCATCAGCCCCTGGCTGCTGCAGGGGCTGGGAATGGCTCCTGAGCTGCTGCCTCTGAACCCCTGCAGCCCCTTATTTTTCTAATACAGCTTGTGAAAATGCATGAACATGAAAATCCACCAGGACTCAAGACAAGCCCCCAGACCCCTGCTCACCACCACTGTTTCCCCCACACCAGCCCCACTCTCTAACAGGAGCTTTTTTTGTGTTTCTTGCAGCAATGTGGACACAGAGAAGTTGTGTGGTAAGTCAGGGATGTTCCTGCCCTGGAGAGCCTCTCCTCCCCAGGGTGTGTGTGGTGGGGCTTGTGGTGTCTGACCTGGGCAGGACTGGGTGGCTCAAAGGTCCCTGTGGCTGGATTCCAGCACAGAGCTGCTTTTCCCAAGGGGAAAGGTGTTTTGGTTTGAAAAGCCAGGTGTCTGCTAAGGAAGGCAGGAGCGTCCCCTGAAATGGAAAATGCAAACCCCCTCCCTCTGAATTATTATAATTTTGAAATTAAGGGGCTCTCAGGCAAATATATGGGAATATGAATAAGAGTTCTTTATTAGGAAAATTAAAAAATACAAATACAATAATACAAACAAATAAAAAACAAACCACAGCCAGAGTCAGCAGAGGCCCTGTCCCCTGTGGGTCAGGGTGGTGGCACAGTCCCATCCCATGGGGGCTCAGCCCTCCTGCAGTGCCAGCTGTGCTTCTGCTGGAGCAGGGATCCTGCACAAGGCTGCAGTTTTCCTCTGCAGCTCCAGGGCTGCTGGAGATGGGCCTGCTCTCCCTCTGGCAATGCAGGGCAGGAGAAAGCTGCTCCTCTGGGAATGCAGGGGGCAAAGGCTGCTGTGCTGTTCCAGGCTCAGATTGGATCCAGGTAGGAATGCTTGGCTCCTGCCCTGGGCACAGCATCTCCCCATGGGATGCTGGAATTTGATCAGCCCTGCAGGGACACTCAGTGGCCATGGACAGCAGAGATCTCCTGGAGGGAGGATTGGCTGTGGGAGAGATGAAGAAAACTGCCCCAGGAACAGCAGAGAACTGCCCCAGCTCTGACAGATGGGGACAGAATGCACAGTTCCAAACCACATCTTACAAACCAGGACAACAGGGAAGGACTTTTCATTTCAGTCATTGTGGGAGAGTGATTCTGGAAAGGGAGGGAATTCCCCCTTGCAGCTCTGGGCTGAGTGTGGGGAGCAGGAGCAGGGGAGGCAGAGGTGCAGGTGCTCAGGAGCCTGACCACGGTGTTCTGTCCTGCTGCAGATTATTTCTCAGCCTACCTCGGGGAATACAGGAACGTGCTCTCTGCCCTGGAAACGCTCAACGCTGCGGTGCTGGCAGCCATGGACAAAACCAAGCTGGTAAGGATGGCACCAGGGGAGGGCAGCAGGGTGGGAAATGGGAGCTGTGTGAGCTCAGCTGCTTCTTAGTGTGGAGTTTGGGGGTTGGAGGCAGCAAACCCCTCAAATCCAGGGTGTCAGTGTGTGCTTGGGTTGCTGCATGTCAGGCACACAGCCTGGAGGAGGGGAAGGGCAGCAGCCTGCTAGCAGTGGAAGGTGTTTGCTGCTGCCTTTCCTGAAAGCATCTTCTGAGAAAGCTGCTCGGGCAAGTACAGACAGTCACTCAGTCCACACTCTCACCATAGCTGGGTCAGCAAAAAGAGATGGAAATGGTCTCTGTATAGAGTTCTGTTGCTGAAACAGGCAATCCCCCAGCTGGGAAATAATGTGCTCTGACTCCAATGATTCCAGAAAGCTGAACAATTGCTTTATTAAGCTATATTATATTACACTAATACTATACTAAATTACATACTAAAGAGATACTAAAGAAAAACCCATGACTGTCTCCAGACAGTCATGGCACACGTGGGTCCAATTGGTCAAGGAATCAAAACAACCTTCACTGGTGCCCAATTCACAAATCACTTTGGGTAAACAATCTCCATAACACATTCCACATGTGCCAAGAAACAGGAGCAGTGACTAGAGATAAGAATTTTTTTCTCTTTTTTCTCTGAGCTTTCTCTGCCTTCCCCAGGGAGAATCCTTGGTAAAGTTGTGCCTGCTGCTCTCTGTGAAGAGAGCTGTGGCCACAGAGTTCCAGTGAGGTTTATTGTAGAGTCACACTGAAGGGATCCAGGGACAAAGCCAGGGCAAACAGTGAGTGTCCTTGGTTAAGTATGGGGTCAGGAGCCAGTGCTTTGGGGTCACAGGGGTAGTGCAAAGGGCAGTGACCTATGAGAAAGGGCAGATTAACACAGCTGCAGGACACCATGGGAGAAGCCCCTTTTGACTCACCCTGAGGTGAGAGGCATTCTCGAAGCCTGTGGTAAATTCTTCCAGGGCAACATCCTAGAAGTTTCCCTAAAAGGCTCAAAGGTGTTCACAGAGAAGGGTAAATCCAAAATTTTTGTGCTGTGAAGACCTTATCTGCATTCTGGGGACATCATCCATGCTCTGGGGACATCATCCCCCCCTTGCAGGGCTCTGGCAGTGCCTGTTCCAGCAGCTCCTTGCAGTGTCCTGCCCCCAGACACTTTCTGGGAGCATCACTGAGAGCCTGTGTCGAGTTCTGAGCCAGAACAAAGTGTTCCCCCCCGAGCAGCAAGGCTCCAAACGAGTCCTGCAGGGCTGGTGGTGCTCAGGATGGAGCCCAGCCCGGGCTGTGCTCACAGACTGAGTGCTGGCTGCAGAAGAGAGGCAGGGGCAGCTGCAACTCCTGCTCCCCCAGCCTGGTACAGAGCTCATTCCTGCTCTGCCAGCCTGGCACAGGGCTCATTCCTGCTCCCCCAGCCTGGCACAGGGCTCATTCCTGCCCCTGTTCTCGCCCTCTCCCTGCAGTTTGTGCTGATGGAAGCAGTTTGGAGGCTCCTGATTAGGGCAAGCTCTGAGCCCCAGCTCTGCTGAGCAGCCTCAGGATAAGGACAGTGGGGAAAGGCAGCACTGGAAGGGCCCTGCCCAGGGAGCAGCAGCTCCTTTTGCACCTGAGATGTGCCAGAGGGTTCAGCTGTGTGCTTGGGAGCTGCTGAGCATGGGGAACATCCTTCCTTTGAAGGAGGTGAGGGGCATCATCCTTTGAATGCTCCTCTGAGTGCTTGCTCAGACAGAGAAGACAAGGGGGGCCAGTCCCACACTCACCAGAGTGGTGTTTGTGCCTCTGTGGTGTCAGTGCCTGTCTGGGTTTTTCTCTGGCCACAGCCAGCCTCAGAAGTGTCTCCCTGTACGTGTGGAAATTCGTGCCAGGAGAGGGAATCTCCTGAGAATGCATTTTCTCACTGGTTCAGGTCCCCAGCCCACTCACAGTTATTAAATACAAGTGCAGAGGGAGAGGAGGAATCCTCTCCAGAGAGCTGTGCTTTATTTCAGTTCCTTTCTGTTCTGTTTTTTTGGGTAATGAATGTGTACAGTCACGGATTTCTCCAAAGGGCAGCACAGTCACTCTCTGCTCCACAGTGTTGGTGTGAGGCATTCACTCCCTCCAAAGCTTCTGTGCCACTGCTGTTCCCTGGAAAAGAGAAGCAGGTTTTCCCTGTTGGAGCAAATTTTGCTGGACTCATTTCTCCCCCTGTTTGGATCTGCCTGGAGCTGGGGCAGTGCAGTGTTCCCAGCACTGCTCTCACCAGGAGGAGCCTGTGCTGACCAGGGGCTCTGATCCCAGCCCTGGTGTGCCAGTGCAGGCATTGATCCCCTGGGATATCCCAGCCCTGGTGTGCCAGTGCAGGTATGGATCATCCTGGATCCCTCCCCTGCACTCCCCTGCTGTGCTGGGCTCTGCTCTGGGCAGGAGCTGTGGGAGGGATGCCTGCCACTGCTGGAGGCTGCAGACATGAGAAATGGAGAAATGGAGATGAGAAATGCTGCATTCCTACCTGCTGGCACCTGAGTGTGTTCCCACATTTGTATTTCCAGAGTTGTGATGGGATTAGTGGGCTGGATTTCAGCCAGTTTCACCCCTCAGTGAGCCAGGGCAGAGGCAGATGTCCCCCACTGCACCTGCCCCTCAATTCTTCTGGTACAAACACCCCTCTGGGGCCTGCGAGCTCCCTTTGGCAGAGACAGCACCCTCGTGGAAGAACCAGATGAGCTTTCACCCCAGGGAGCTGCTTGTGCACTGAGAAAACTGGAATGTTGGAACCCTGGATACTGAGAGTTTCAAACTTTCTGTGCTGACAGGCACTGACCCTCAAGAAAACACTACATTTGACCTGATGCCATAGAGAAAACTCCCAAAATTAAATAATAAAACTAAGATTATGAGTGTGTAGTTTAAATAGAAGTGTGTAATCACGAAGTAGAAAACTTATAGTTTAGGGTTTTAGAATAATATATAAATAATAATAGAATAATGTTATATAGTATTATAATATAATAAATATAAAATAATATCTTGTATAATTAATATATAATTAATATATAAGACTAGATAATAGATTATATAGTATATCACATATTAGCTGTATAATTAATTATATAATCATTAATATATAATATATAATTAATAATATAATATGAATTTAGAGTAATATATATAAAGGAAGATAGAAGTTTTAAGGCAGAAGCTAGTCCTTCACCTTCTTCTTCATGAGTTTGAGTAGTATTATGTAATTGGATTAAAAAAATCCACATTACAAGCCACAAGTAGTTAGTTATTAAAAGTAAAAATAATTTAAGTGTCATTTCTTAATGAAACAGCTTATCCTTTAAAAACTTTGTAGAGAGAGAGAGAGATATAGCTCCATTTTTAGTTTATTAAAGTACTATAGAACTCACAATTTGTGAAACTGTTAATATAGATAAGAACTAATAAACATCTAAGTCCAAAGAAGAAATACCATGTCACGCATTTAATCCCAACCTTAACAAAAGGAAGCAAAGGCTCCTCAGTGGAGGAGCCCTGCAGAAGGATCTGCAGGCCCTGCCTGCTCCTGCCAGGCTGTATTTGCAAGGACTTTGCCTGACTCTGGAACAGGCAGCGAGGTCCAGGCTGGCAGGGAGGAGGAGGAGGAGATCTCAGGCTTGAGCTGTGTCCGAACAGGCAGCGAGGTCCAGGCTGGCAGGGAGGAGGAGGAGGATGAAAAGATCTCAGGCTCGAGCTGTGTCTCAGCACAGCATCTCCTGCTCAGGGCATGATCCAGCTCCAGCTGCCCAGCCCTGCATCCTCCAGGGACACAGCTGGAAATGTGGAATATTGTATTTGCGAGGTGCCCCAATAAAGGAAGGATTGATGAATCTGACTCCATGTTCTCAGAAGGCTAATTTATTACTTTATGATACTATATTATATTAAAGAACAATATCCTAAAGAATACAGAAAGGATACTTACAGAATGCTAAAAAGATAATAATGAAAACTGGTGACTCTCTCCAGAGTCTGACACAGCTTGGCCCTGATTGGCCAAAGAGTGAAAACAACTCACAGCAGAACCCAATGAAACAATCACCTGTGGGTGAACAATCCCCAAACACATTCCACATGAGCACAACACAGGAGAAGCAAATGAGATAAGAATTGTTTTCCTTTTCTCTGAGGCTTCTCAGCTTCCCAGGAGAAAAATCCTGGGTGAAGGGATTTTTCCAGAGAATGTGAATGTCACAGTGGAATGAACAGGAAAGCACAGAGAGCCTGGGCAGCTCCGTGGAGACTGCTCAGACTGTGCCAGGCAGCTCCCCAGGAGGGGAATCTGGAAATCAAGGCACAATCAATGTGCCATGGGGAGGATTTTTCCAGAGAATGTGAATGTCACAGTGGAATGAGCAGGAAAGCACAGAGAGCCTGGGCAGCTCCGTGGGGACTGCTCAGACTGTGCCAGGCAGATTCCCCAGGGAATCAGGAAATCAAGGCACAATGAATGTGCCATGGGGGTATTTGGGAGCTGTGGTTTGAGGCAGTGCTGCCAAAAGCCCTTGGGATGGAATATTCCCAGCTCAGGACACCTGGCTTGGGTCACTGGGCTGTGTCCCAGCTGTCTCCTGGCTGGCAGCTCCTCCATCTCCTTGTCAGCAGAAACCCTGGGACAAAGTGTGGGAAGTGCAAGCTGAGTTTCTCCTGTGTGCCTGCAGTTACTGCAGTGTCAGATTAGCCCTTTTCTGACCCAGAGATGGGGCAGCTGAGAGGTGTTTTCAAAACTTTCATTCCATTTTCAGTCTCATGTGAAGGGTGAGACAATACAGATGTTATAACTCACACCATCACAATCAGAAACCAACTATTTCCTAATTACAAAACTATAAGTGTTTCTTAGCCCATCAGCTTTAGCTACACTTTTTAAAAACTTATACTTCATACTTAAATATATATACTTATATATATGTATATATACTTTTAATATGTATATATGGTATATATATGCACTATATAT